GAAACTAGTCCTGTGAAAATTTTGAAAATTAACGCTGATTTTTGTTGTTTGACTTCTGAATTAGTACTTATTCAGCATGTTATTGTGTCTTAATTAACAGATACTTTATTCAACTGTTAGTCCCAGAACTTCATTTCTGCATCGATATCTTCCTTCATAAGACATTAAGAAAATGACATTTCCATTTATATAATATCAAATAAAATTTTCAGAAAATACTGCTATCGATAGTAAGGAAAGTTACAGAGAAGTTACTGAAAATGAGAAAATTTCGATTGAAAAGTTAGTCGGAATTCTCAAAACAACAGTTACAGGACTTCAACAACGTAACTAAACAAGAGATTATCTCTGTATCTACAGAATTAAAGAGAAAGTATTAGCAAAAAAACGAAGTAACTTAAAACAACTTACATTGAAAGAAATGTTTAATAAGGCAAACAAATAAATGTTAAGCTTTTTTTTGTAAATTTTGATACCCTTTAGATCATAAATACTTCATTATTTCATAAGTCACTATTTCATATTTTTAATTTTATAATTTCTACATGCCTCTTACTAAATTTAAACTGATGATCTAGTTATTATTCGGAAAAATCCCAAATCCAGAATCGCCGAAGTTCCGACGAGTCCAGACTTTGGACTTTGTACTGTATCTGCTGATACATTCTACAGAATGGATCCTGGATTCCAGTCCTGAGAGATTCTTTCACAATATTTGTGCATTATATGTACCTCATCTCTTTTATATTGGATTGAGTTTAGAAAACTCTTTAGTATTTTAAAAAGATTTTTGGGACATTTTATTTTTAGTCTCGTCGGAGCACTGGCTACCAAAAGATTATTACAGGCCAAAGCTATATCTAGGGAAATTACAAAGGTGTGTGAATCATATTCTCTTGTATTTACCATATTTTCCAATTCTTCTATTATATTACTTTCTAGGGTGACCTTTAACTGTTTCATGTTTAAGATGTTTTTTGTCAGAAAATATCAGAATCTCTTTGCCAGATAAATGGGGAAGAAGGCACTTGTATATGTTCCGTCTTTTCCTTCATTGAGAAACAGGATCAAGTTTGCAGATTTTATGCCCTGTGGAAGCAGCCTCTCTTTAAACATATTTTCAACTATTTTTAAAGATTTCTCCATTTGTCATATTAGATTCTTCCACTGTCTATATGGAGAGTTCATCTACTCCTGAAACTTTCCCTCTTTTTACACAATGTTATTTATTTCCTTCAATGTGCAATGCAAAAAGTAAATGACATTGCAATCATTCTCTGTGTTTAGAATTCTATTCACTTCCCCTTTATCTCTTTGGGCTTATTTTCACCTACATCACTATACTGTAGGAAGTGGGAGTCCAGAATGTATTTAATTATGTTCTCTGTGGTGTTTATAAATTCATCATTTGCTTTTTTAATTTTATACAGCTTTAATATAATATTTCATATTGGACTTAATTACCATTTTTATAATTCTTATATTTTATAATTCTTAAACTTTTCAGAAAGCCTAGACTACTTAAAACTTCTGTGAACTTAACAAAACCACAAAAGAGGCTTAAATTACGTTTTTTGATGCATAATCTCTTTTCATGCATTATGTAGAGTTTGATGCATTGTGTACAGAGTTTAATAAATAGTTCTGAAAATAATCAGATAATAAATATGTAAGAATAGCCAACTATGTTATGTTTTAATTGTGCTTTTACAGGAATAATATTGTACAGAAAAGTTATTAAAATGTTTATAACTTCTGATGAATTAATGATTTAAATATATTTAATTATTCACTTAAAATAAAATTTAAAAAACACTAGATTTATACAAATAGACATCTCTAGTATACATAATTGTTATCTTTAATCTCCGTTATTTATCTCAGGACGGCTAGGAACAAGTTTAAGATTGGTTAAATTTTAAATTTTAGTGTTGTTTGAGCCAATAGTGGTTTTGAGGCGTTTCTTAGTGAGTGTCAACTGAGTTTTCTTAAGCCGTAGCAAGGGAGACAGGAGGAAAAAATTTTCAGTTACATGCTTTTCTTTCCGATTGAGCCAAGGAGACTTTCTCGAAGAAAAGAAACGAGATGACTTCTAAGATGCAGAGCGGAGACCAGCAGTCGGGAGTTCCTGGTCAGATGAACGACTAGACTACCTTACACAGAAGGAAGGCATATTGAATCAAGAATTCATGAGTTTGACTGACTTCAGTATGGCCGGTGTTTTGGGGAAGACCGGAGTCCTACCGGTTGGAAGTGGCTGTGGGGTGGAAAGCCTAGCCTCTGAAAGGGTTGCACACTATTAATTCTCATATTGTTTTTCTTCCTTTACAGAAGTATCTACCAAACGTTAATTGTTATTACCTGCGTCGTGACAGTGTCCATCTGAGTTTTTTGCCTGTATCAAGTACCCAAAATTATGTTTGATGCCTCCCAAACAGGAAAGGTGAATTGTTAAATTTGTAAAGGTATGTAACTTCAGTTGTTTCTTCAGATATAAGACTGACCAGTCGTCCACTATTTTTAAAATGTAACTATATTCCTACTATTACCTCCTTAATAAACATTAGATTGATTTTACATACTTAGCCTTTGACTTTGCACTGGACCATAGCTTTTGAACGGGTTATTGCCCGACATTATGTCACACAATGCAACTTCCCGAAATTAAGTTTTTTTTTTTTTTTTTTTTTTTTTTTTTTTTTTTTTTTTAATATATTACACTATGATAACTACTCAAACTCCTGTGTTATGTGATTGATACAATATTGGTTGAAATGTTTTTGTTATGTTACCCATATACATACATTTACCTACCACATAATCTGGTATGAACATTAATAATAGTAATTACACAGAAATGATGTTCAGTAGTAAATAATATATATGAAATTATATTATGTGATATTGATATAACAATATTGTTACTTAGAAAAAATTAATTAAATTTTAACTTTTAAACTGAATACTTGGTGGCGTGACAAAAAAAAAAAAAAAAAAAAAAAAAAAAAAAACTAGACACTTGTAACAATAAATATTCAATTATCATCTACTTAAACATGACAGCTCTAGCTTTAGTATGAGACATTTCCAAATTTATAAAGGTTAATTATCAAAAGAAAGCACCAATGAAAACATAAAGTCACTCACGAAATCCGCGTCCCACATCTGAGAGACTCAGGGGGCTGCCCGGATCCAGTCACGAAACGTTGAAAACATAACAGACAAGAATCCTTGATGTCCGGAAAACTGATACTGATGTGTGTTCACAGCATAACGAGAATTTTCTCGTAGCACCCGCACTACTCGGTCCAGCAGCATTTAACTCAAAATAATAATAATAATAATAACAATCAGTCTTCCCTTTTATTTCGAAGACCCTCTGAAGATAACAAAAGGAGATGATGACTTCCCTATTTTTCCATATTTACCAAAGCAAAACAAGAACTCAAGCACAAGCAGTTCAGACTCAACTGAACAATAAAAATATCAGTGACGAAAACAAAAATAATAGGCCGCAGGACAGGAATCGCCAGCGCCCAACACGACGAGCACCCGCACTATCTCAGACGGGTTTCCATCACCAGAATCTCGGAGATAAACAGCTTCAACTGTATACCACGGTCGACAGCTCGAAGAGTCGCCACCTCAGCACCTCACTGACTGCGGGCAGCCCCCAAGAGCCGCTGTCAAGGAATCTAACCCGCTTAAGCTCTGAAAAATCTGCTAAACAAAATCTCTTTTTCAGTCCAAAAAATTTCTCCTGCCTCCCGCGCAATGGCTTAAGAAAACTCGGTTGACACTCACCAAGAAACGCCTGAAAACCACTATTGGCTCAAACAAAACTAAAATTAAAAATTTAATCAATCTTAAGGAAACTTGGACTCCCTCTAGCCAACTAGAAAAAAGGTAATAAATAGCCTCTAAAATTCTCAGAAATTCAGAACTTTCAACTAGATGACAGACCTTTTTTTTTGCCAAGCAACAGAAAATTGTTTCCAACCTATAACTCTGTCAAAAAAATTGCCGCCCCCTTAGAACTATTCGCCTCTGAACGAGCAAAACACGTATTTTCAACTCCCGCGAAAAGAGGAAACTGCAGCTGGGCAGTATGACCCCTCACCTCCAAAAGAAGCAGACTCATGAAAAACGGAAATACACCCGCACCCTTTTAACTGTAACACATATTCTGCGAAAGTTAAGAGCTTTGCCGTAAAGTTTAACAATATTAAATATTATACATTAATTTTTAAATTGGAACAACACAAATTCATTAATCACAGTAAAATAATACGTAATAATTATACACAACAAAAAATACATAAGAATTTTCCATAACGCCATCTATCGGCTGATAACAGAACTTAAGCTAGATTTTTATCAAAACAAACTAAAAATTTATGCCTTAATTCATAAACTTTACTGGAAGCTGAGAATCCACCTCTCAACTCTTTTGCATAAGCTAATTTCATTGAAAATAAAGTCAGCAACTGATAAATTCTGGATAAAATGATAAGAAAATTATTTTGGTAATGTTAATTATGATAAAGCACGCAAAAGATATTTGCCTAGAGAAGGATGCTTTGTGAAGGAATTATCAAATTAGCTTATCTTACAAATAAGCTTGTTTTACATTACACATGTAGGGGGGAAAAAAAAAACTTCCACTTTTAGTGATTTTCAGGCTCTTTTCATTGCCATAACGCAAATCTGGTGCTAAACTACTAATGCATTGCAATTTTGGCCACTAAGAAAATTTGGAATTTCAAATTCCGCTTGCAGAAATATCAGATCCATCACTGCCTATTCACAGTATGTAAAAGTTTAAACTACAGCAGTAAATACACCGTACAGTTGGAAACCAATGGCAGCTCTTGATGATTAGGTTACTGTGCATTAGCATTTTCAAGTTTGAATTTTTTGTTCATCTGAATTCACTGCACATGGTAAATAAAATACATATTCAAAAATTAAGTCATAATTATAGGTGTAAAGGCACTTACATTAGTCACCATTGATAGACCGATAAGGAATGACACAAAACAAGTTGCAGCAATGAAGTACTCTCTTCTGTACCCAACCCTCAGATATTTTGGAAACATATCTACAATTGCAGTAACAAAGCCTTCAATTGCAACAAACTGAAATAGAAAACATAATAATTACAAATCTTAAAAGGTTTACAATTACGTTTTCAAAGAAGAATTTATAGGCTGCAGACATTGACTCTTTAATTTTCTAATCTACATGCCTTAAAGTTCTCAATAATTCCAGAATTACTGGAAAATTTCTTAGTGAAAATGATTTGCAAAATTAATACTATTACTTTGAATTAAAATTATTTAAAATTAATAATTATTAAAAAACAAACATTAAAAAAACACTAGAGTAAGAAACCAGACAAAATATTAATAAAATATTTGAAAAATCAACATTAAAAGAAGAATACTCAAGTAAGAAAACAGAAAAAATATTGGGTAACTAAAAAACTTTTTAGTGATTCTGCTTCTTCTTTGAATTATAAATTTATTTAGCACATTGCTTTTAGTTGCCCAGTACTTTTCCTGGTTATTTTAATTAAATATTCTTCAATTTTGACAATATTCTATAAAGAAAAAATTACAAATTACAAATTTACTTATGAAATATTTCTAAATATGAAGCAAATACACATTTTTTTAACTACCCTGTCTTCAAGGAAAAAATTAACATTGCTAAAAAAAAGATTCAACGAAATACCACAGCTGAAACAAGGGGTAGGTAGCAAGTAACATATATTGACTCAGAAGGGAGCCATTCTCGACATTTGGTGGCAGGCTATTCTACTTCCTGTTTTTCTTTTTGGTTTTTGATCACCAAAACGTTATTAGAATTTTATTTTATACTAGCAGCATAGCTGCCAGCCTTCGTCTGGATTTTAAATGTGCCGTAGAAATGCCTGAAGGTTATACCGTAAAAATGCCAAACGTTAAATTTAAAACTGCACAGAATTTTACTCTGCAGAAAACTTCTGGAAAAAAACACAAATTTTTTTAAATATTACATATAAAAAAATTAACTAAGTTTCCACTGAAGAAAAAAAACCATGCAAAACTTTTTAATATCTTACAAACAGTGAAATAAACAAAAAATAACATGAAAGAAACTCAGAAAACAAAAAAATTCCGTGCAGAATTTTACTCTGCAGAACAACTTTATCAAAAAAAAATCAATAAAAATGTATTGTATATATATAAAAAATGACAATGAAATATGCCAATATCTTAAAAACAGTAACATAAGAAATATGATGAAAAATTGTTGCCAAACTCATATTTCTAAAAGAATGACACTATTCAAAATGATGCATTTTCATCAAAAATCTATCAACACCAATAAGAAAGGAAAATTGTTGCCAAAATCACATTTTTAAAGATGTGAGAAGTGTACTCGGAAGCTTCATTTTAATTTTTTTTTTTTTTAAATACAAAATATTATCATTTTTCCAGAATTCTTTTTGTAAAAGCAGTCGGAAGGATGAAAGTTTAATGTGTCCAAAAATCAAAGAAAAATAAACTTTTTTAGAAAAAATCCCGTTGAAAAGGTGTTAAGCTCACTTTGTTAAATAAATTCGTATTTAATCGATTTATTGAAATACGAAATTTATTTTAAGTTCGTAAAATAGCTAAGTGCCTATGTTTCATGACGATGTAAGAATGGAGTGTGTAGAGTAAAATATCGCTTTCCTATAGCCCATTATGTCTCAAAATGACACGTTTTCATCACAAAACATAAAATAATAAAAAAAATTCGAATTCGAATTTCGAAAAAATCACTTCGAAGTGCCCTGGCTCTTGTTTAGATGTACCTATGTACCAAATTTCGTACGCGTGGGTCTATTAACTTACGCGCAGCATGAACGACACAGACTCTTTCTTTTATTATATGAAGAAATTCTTTTCTTTAAGGTAGAAGCACTCCCCTTGAAACTACGACTGTTGTGAATTGAGATTTAATCATAATTAAAGAGTTTTGGAATTTTCTGATGGGACATTTATGGCATCCGAACAGGAATGCTAGTCCCAACAAAGTTGTTTGGAAGTGAAAGAGTGCATATGAACTTCTAACAAATGAGTAAAATAATATTCCATGTTATATGGTGTTAAAGTTTGTAAAGTTAAATTATTAATGTTCTTTGACTGATTGCATAAATAATGGAATACATTCTGTGTTTACAAGGATCTTTAAGCAAACAGTGTTTCATTTTGAGTAGATATGTTCTATACTGATGAAATGTTTTATAATACTGAATAGTCTTATTTTCTACAACAAAAGTTTTTTTTTTTTTTTTTAATAATATGAAGTTGGAGAAGAATAGTATTTATTATCTAGTTTGAATTCATACTATTGTGTTTTCATTTAGTATACTTTATATTAAAGAATATTTGTTGAAAAGGAAGTCTTACATTATGGATCAGCTGATTAAATCATGCAGCTCATATTGAGGTACCTTTACAAAATATGGAGAAAAGGCATAGGATTTTTTTAAAATTAAAAGTCACTGATCCTGATTCTTGTATTGATTTTTTAGCACAGCTGCAAGAAAATATTCTACAATTTAATTCTTTGAAGAGGCAATTCTTAACATGTTGTGGACCAATAAGAACCGTTTTCAGAAAGTGTTGGGTGATGAAATCGAAAGTGCTGACAAGTATAGTGACATAAAACCACTCTTTTTTTTAAAAAAAAAAACCTCGGTGGTAACAAACTCAGTAACGACCCCATGGCCTGCATTGCTCAGAAATCTGCTTTCTTCACCTTTGGCCCCCCGAGTGCATCAGCACATGCCCTGGGCAAGTCATCAGCTTGTCGCAGGACCCCAGGTATTTAGTCCTCAAGCGAACTTGGTAATCATTTTATCGACTCGTTCAAGGAATGAAAGGCTCAGTCAACCTTGCCCATCCCGAAGATTGAATCCTGGACCTGTGGTGCAGTGGCGCGATGTACTAGCCACTTATGGAACCACTCTACTTCGCTCCATATTAGGGCTGATCCTAGTGTAGGAATGGCATGATGGTGCACAACACACGGGCAACTAAATTTAAAGGCAGCCAAAATGATTATCAAACATATTATACGGTACAAAGTCCATAGTGTGGACTCATCGGGAGTTCGGCGATTCCGGGTTAGGGGTTTTTCCGGATTATAGATCATCAATTTAAATCTAATAAGATGGCATGCAGAAATTATAAAATTAAAAATATGAAATCGTAATTTATGAAATAAAGAGCAATTATGATCTAAAGGGTATCAAAATTTTTAAAAAAAGCTTAATATTTATTTGTTTACTTTATTAAACATTCATCACTTTTTCATGATCGTCACTTTTAGCATAACGAACCCTTTTTCTTAATTAGACACAATAACACGCCGAATAAATAATTCAGAAGTCAAACAACAAAAATCAGCGTTAATTTACAAAATTTTCACAGGACTAGTTTCGGTAAAACCATCGAAACTAGTCCTGTTAAAATTTTGTAAATTAACGCTGATTTTTGTTGTTTGACTTCTGAATTAGAACCCTTTTTCTGTTAGTCATTGCAAGTGGGGTGTCGGAATCCACAAAATATTCAAAAAAGTTCCCTTTTTTTTTGCTTATGTCATATACAGTTGACTTTCCAATGTCATACTCCTCCTATAATTTTGAGGTGGATATGCATATAATTTTGAGACTTTATCCATTTTTTGCAGATATTCCACTTTTGGTTTGATGGACATCGAAACATGCTTTCACTTTGTAGATCCTTTGGCATCTTCACAATTTGAAACTTTTTTTGACATAATCGAAAGTTCAAGCTTACTTTTTATAAAACTGCTCTAACAGTCTGCAAAAAATAATAAGCTGGATTCAATTAGAAGATTAAGGAGGGGCGCAATCTGCAACATCAACTGAAATGCCTTAGATAATTTTAGCCTCGCTTATACCGTCCGTTATACATTAAACATGAATGTGCAAACACATATGCGCATGCATAAATGCATAAGCATATGCGTAAATGCATTATACGTTTACACATAAAGTTTGTAGCTTTGAGGTGCAGATTATAGATCATTCCGGATATTAAACGTCTGGATTAGAGACTTTGTACTGTATTTCTGTAAATAAGGGCAGCAAATTTTAATTTGCATGTGGGCAGCTGATGATCAGGCACTGCCCCATATAGCCACTATACTATTTAAATGAAACCAATTTGTCAAGTGATTTGAATGAAACACAAATTGAGAGCAAAACTAAAAGAAATTTGTATGCTAAAGACTGAAGTACTAAAGTCTGATGATATACTAAAGTTAAAATATTGGCTTTCATTTGGGGATTATTTAAGAAGATTTATGAAGATGTAAATATTCCGGAGGTAGAAAAATTTTAGTATCTCTTCCAATATACTCAAAAAGATTCAAGAGTGAGGGAAGTGGTGGAATCTTTTCTGCAACAGCTGAAAACTAATTCAAAAGTCAAACAACAAAAATCAGCGTTATACTTTCAAAATTTTCACAAGACTAGTTTTGATGGTTTTACTGAACCACCATCCTCCGCTGCAAAACCGCAAACCCTTTTGCAGCTGAGGATGGTGGTTCGGTAAAACAATCGAAACTAGTCCCGTGAAAATTTTGAAAACATAACGCTGATTTTTGTTGTTCGACTTCTGAATTAGTATTTGTTTGGCATGTTATTGTGTCTTAAAGCTGAAAACTATTCACAGACTGTTGAATGTTTACACACCCATTTTGGTAGAAAAGACATTTGAGTTGAAGCACATGTCATGGAATTGTTACTCATACTTTAGTTCAAGAACATAAACTACAAATTGCAGAACTTTATGATAGATTAGAGACACAATTAAGATCACTGTAAGTACTCAGCATTACCAGAGACAAGTATATTTCTATGTTGTACCCCTTAGTTGAATCCAGTTTATCATTTGAGCTTTTACACATATGGGAAAGGCACTTAAATTCTCTCTCTCTTGGATCTGGAGATAAAACTTTCAATAATTTAGAAACATTGATGTAATTTTTTAAGTAATGAAATTCAGTGGGAAGAGAGAATTAATCTGGCTATAAACGGCTTTGAGTTTGAAAATAAAATAAAAATTTTCCAAAA